TGGGAATTGCATCAGAGTCTATGAAATTGTGGTACTTATATTTAGTCTATTTTATGACGCATATTCTAGCTCAAGGTCTATCGTACAGTAGATGACCATCCTAACATAACCCGATTCCTCGGAGTTAGCAAAGGTAAACGATAAGATGAAAACATTTAATGTATTAGAAAATAGGCTTTATATTTAATGTAATACTTTTATAATTTCAATATTCTCTTCCACTCCTGTCCCATTATCATAGAAAACACCAAGATTATATTGTGCCCAGGCATCTCCTTGTTCAGCTGCTTTCTGATACAGCTCAACTGCTTTTTGAATATTTTTTTCCACTCCTGTCCCATCCTGATAACATACACCAAGGTTATATTGTGCCCAGGCATATCCTTGTTCAGCTGCTTTCTGATACAACTCAACTGCTTTTTGAATATTCTTTTCCACTCCTGTCCCATGCTTATAGCAAATACCAAGATTATATTGTGCTGGTGCATATCCTTGTTCAGCAGCTTTCTGATACAACTCAACTGCTTTTTGAATATTCTTTTCCACTCCTGTCCCATGCTCATAGCAAACACCAAGATTGTATTGTGCCCTGGCACATCCTTGTTCAGCTGCTTTCTGATACAACTCAACTGCTTTTTGAATATTCTTTTCCAGTCCTATCCCATAGCAATAATAAAAACCAAGATTACATTGTGCTACAGCATTACCTGCCATTGATGATTGCTGATACCATTGAAAAGCTTGTTCAAGATCTGTTTCTGTTTCTATTCCATGTGCATAGAAGAAACCAATCAGCCAAAAGCATTGTCCACAATTGGCATGAGCCTTTAATGTAACCAATGAACTTTCTTGCTTATTGTTATCTTGTTTAAGCCAGTTGTTGATATAATCAGCTATTTGTTCCATAGATTTCCCCTTAAATTTTAACTTGTTGTATAATGCTGACAACTCATTAGAAAGATGATCTGAATCACATTTTGGTAACTGGTTCACTTCTCCAATTATATTCTTTAATCTATGGTAACATTGTTCACTGGTTGGTCTTCTTTCTGAATTGTTGTCCCAGCATTCTGTATATAAATTTTTGTATTCCTCTGGTGTGCCTGGAACCACATCATGGCGACCACCATTCAGCCTATAACTCTGAATGTCAAGTATATCTTTGAATTCTCCACATGGATATTCTCTGCTGGATATTTCCCATAAAATAATCCCAAGGCTAAAAATATCAGATTTCTCATCTTGTATACTATCATTGTCATTAAAGCATTTAGGGTCAATGTATGCATAAGTTTCTCGGTGGTCTGAGCAAGTTTTTTGTCGTAACATTTTTTCAGATGTCCCAAAATCCGTGATCTTAGCCGTCTTCCCGTGAATTAAAACATTGTTTGAAGACTTGTGATGGCATGAGAGCAATTAATCAATATACAGTTTATGCCAATAAAACATTGTATTAATAAATAATACACTTACTAAATCTTTATGCAAGATTCCCATTCTATGAATATGTCTCAATCCGTTAATGATGTCCAAAGCTAGTTGGCAGTTGGCATGCCAATCTAATTTGATAGTTGGCGTCGATAAGTATTCCCGTAACGAACCGTTGTCGGCATAATCAAAAACCATCAAATATCTTCCTTTGATATCTATTCAAATTATAAAAGTATTATATTCGAGCCTATTTTCTAATACATTAGCTGTTTTCATCATCGTTACCTTTGCTAACGCCAAGGAATCGGGTTATGTTAGGATGGTCATCTACTGTACGATGGATCTTGAGCTAGAATACAAATATGCGTATGAAATAGACTAAATATAACCACAATTTCATAGACTTTGATGTAATTCCCACTATGCACAATTACAAACCTCATTTACAAAGCATTTAAAGAACTCGTCTTCGTTCCAATATTTGACCATCTTGTAAGCAACAGTGATGCCCGATGTTGCTTCTGTTGCTTTGAAAACTACACCAAATACACCATGGCTTATGCAGTCTTTATCGATTAAGCCATCATAAGGATAGAATCGAATGTATTCACTTTCAATACTCTTTTTTAACCATTCTTTGTCAGCGGTAATAGATGTCATCGTTACGTTATTATGTCGACTTGAAGTTCTCCACTCCATACTTAAATACTGTACCTCATTGGTTGGTGTTGTGTTACAGACATAACCTATTAACTATGATCGTCCAATCGTTTTACTTGAGATTACGAAATGTATCGATATGCCAGGAATACTGCTCATGCTATTCCGAAATGCTAAGGTAAGGTGAAATGAGGAGATGCATTATTTACTCGATGAATTCTTGTAGAGACGTTTTTATTTATTTCAAATTTAGTTTAGATCCTTCTCAGAAAGGTGCATTGGTTGAGATTACAACAAGTCTACATATACAGTCGGAAGTGTGATAATGAACCCCAGAGAGACTGGATTTAATTCACCAACTGAAGAATAGAGATAGATAGCAATAATAGGTCTGTTGATAAGATATGCAAGGTAGGCTGTTATTTTTTAACATTGTTCTGTTGATTTGCGTTGTGGAGCTTAATCATGTAATAACGGACTGTTCTTTGGATCCAGATCTTGACTTACTTCTCAGATCTTGCATACCATCACTGCAAAGTCGGAACGTTGTTGTAAATATGAGAGGGCTATACACTTATAGGTTAATACGAATTTGTATTCTATCAAATCAGATGGTCGAAAATGTGTTACTATATTGCATCCGAATAAGAAACATATAAGATGGGATCGATACGTTGTTTCTCAAGAATGTTATGGTGATAGCGACTCAGCGGCCGGTGCGTATGAGTCGAGCAAAGACTGGCGAGAAAATATTATATATGACAAATACTGTGCTTATCAATGATACTTCATTTTTTTATTTAGAATTTGTTGCCTTATTGGTAACTTGAAACTAGAGATAATGGGATTTGGTTGCGACTGAAAGTAATACCACATTTCTCATGTGTGTTCTCATAAAACGTGTCAGACATTTATTGATCACGCCCACTCGTGTACATTTAGGAATATGTGAAAAAGTCCGAATGATGATTTTGCTACTTCAGGCTATTGGGTGGTGCAATAGGAATGCCACAGATGGCCGAGAACTGTCTAAACGGATTAATGAAAGCTGTTGTGTCGCAAAAACAGTTGGTTTTTAATTTGTATAAATAATAGCCGATTTGATTGTTGTATCTTATTCATTCCCTACTAATATGATGGCATTTTATCGACACCTAGTCGGAGAGGCTGTACTAGTAATAAAAAGACTTCACCAATTAAGACCTCATGACAATGTAGAAATGATAACACAAGCTCGCAAAGGTTCTTGAACTTCTCTAACTCAGATGATGCTGTCGATTATTTTGGCTGCTAAGCTTATTTGTTTGCATCCGACAGACCATATATACGTTGGGATTGTTATACGAATGTATAATGAGTTTGGCATGATGTAATGTGAAGTAGAGACAGAACAAAAATCTTGAGGGATGATCACCGACTATAAGAGGAAGGATTGAGATGAGGGATATTGACTAAAAAGGATGAAGACGATATAGCTTGGAACAAGGAGGCACCCCACCCGTAGCAGTAGAGAGTCTAAGCATGGGTATATTCTGATACGACGATATCACAGACTGACCAATTTTGTAATCGAGTACGTTTTCACAGTCTTAGGTCACGCTCGAACCGCTGCCCGACTGGCCTATCAAAAACCTGATCTGTCTCGTCTGTTAGGAACACATCGGTATATAAATGCATTATGTATATTCAGAAACCTTACGTTCATTTTTCTATTTTAAACGAGTCCTTTTCTCCCATAGGTTGATTCATATGACTGAATATTCGCTGTAAAAAGGCTTAGATAATTTCTACGATTCTACTAAGAGCGAAGAGGAAATTGAAAAAGAGACGAAAAAGAGACTGAGGAAGAGATAACGAAGAAGAGAGCGAAGAGGCAGACGGTAAGTACAAGGCATTGTGGCGAAGTTTAACATATGCTTATTGTACGTGTTTTAGCACTGCGTCATAATTCTATTGGCGAGGAGACGTCAGAGAGCGAGAGTGAGAACGAGGACGAGAGCGAAGATGAAGAGGAGGACGATGATAAGAAGATGAAGGAAGTGAAGATAAAAATAACCAATGACGATGAGTAAGTAGAAGTAATACAGGCATCCTCGGAAGAGAATGATACCAACTACCAACAGTGACACCCCCATAAATGCAACGCCTTGGGACCGAGTGCTGTGTTGCATTTATGGGGGTTTTGCATTTATGGATGGTTTCCTTAATAGGAAAGAGATTTTAACAATCACGTCCGTCGATTAAACAGAGTTTCCTTTATTATAATTTCTAGCTAACTTTATATAAAAAGTTTGACTATAAACGTCCCTAACTGTTAACTAAGAATAATGTTAGGTACTTTGTGTCATTGAATTTACCCTTTTTTTCGCGAATGAACTATTGACTATGACGCCTTTTAAATAGCTGCTGGCACCTTCTTGTTTAATTAGAAATGTCTTTACGTTTTCGTGCCTCATTAGCACTTACTATTGGGGTTTTATTACAGTTTCAAAGCTATTGGTAAACAGGATCAAACTCAAACAGTGAAAAAAAGAAAATAGCAATGCTTCACAAAGAATTCTTTCTTCACGCACACGTAAAACTGCGCGCGAATTGTGATGTTCGAAATTTGATTTGTGCTACATTGTGTTGATTTTTTAAATCACGTGGGTTGCACGTAGGGAAATAAATATACTAGAGCGGGCTCACTAAGTCCATGCTTGGGACCGAGCAGAAAGTGTTGCATTTAGGGGAGGGGAGAATTGGTTGCATTTATCGACATGACTATAATCTAATCAATATACTGTATCATTGTATTATTGATCATACGTACGCTTGGGCTTCATGCATTTATAATATTTATCATGCTGGACTTTAGTAGCCGTGTCTTCTCCAAATACTCATCCCTTTCATTGCTGTTTGAAATAGTAATGTCTCCAGAACAACCTACCAATCTGCTGAAACGGCCTTGCATGGTTTGATCTTATGCGGAGGTGAGAATGTTCGATCAATATTCCCCAATATATACAATAAAATAAAAAATGTTGGTAAAATATGACACGTTGGTTATCTTGTAATAGTCTACGTTCTTTATTTGCTTTTTAATACCAATAAAAAGCTCAGAATGCAACTTATTTATGCTATTACTAAAAGGCTTTAGATAATTTCTATGATTCTACAAAGAACAAAGAGAAAGCCGAAGCAGAGACTGAGGAAGATAATGATTTGTTAGCAAACACGGATTTTCCTTCTAAACGTGCTCAACTGTGATTTAAAGTCTGGATTCGGTGTGCCTGTAACGAAATACTGATGTCATAATGTTGTATTTCGTACAAGGAATCAGTAGTTGAACTAACAAATAAACGCAGTATATATCGTGCTCACATTAATGGATGTAAAGATTCTTGAAAAAGAACAATTGGAAAGCAAACGAAGAAACACATTGAGAATTTACGAATAAATAATAAAATTGAATAATTTATTAACATAGTTGATACTCAGTTACTCATATTTATATAAAGATTAAACACTATTAGAATTGGATCAGAACCAATGACAACCACCAGCTCAATAGTTTCTTCTAGTCAAGATTCTACCAAAATGAGCATGGATGCAAGTAAGTATATAGGTACCGCCGTCCAAAACTCATCATTTGCTGACCACGAATCCGAACCTGGTACTGTACTTTATTACATGCATGCCACGACGATTGTCTTCTCAAGACATTGCTCTTACTACTGCGTGCAACAGTACTTTGTTAACCCAGGATTGACTCTCCCACTACGTAATACATTTCCCTGTTGTATACATGGAGACGTTATTGGATGATCCGCAATTCTCTTCAAGCGGGCGATTGTCTTACAGCCAACGAAGTTACCCTTGATATCTGTTCTCGAACGCAACAATTTGGTGTCGGAAACGAGGTGGATATGGAATTTCAGAACTATTTAAAGTTTAGTTCTTTCTTGCTTATCTCCAAAAACTGTAAAAACGCTCTCAAAAGACGCTTTGCTTGAGCTTTACCACTTGAGACAGAAAACATATTAACGTCTTGTGTTATTCGAATGCCGCAGTTTATTTTATGTCACACAGAAAAAGTATCATAAATTGCAAGCAATCAAAATGCTCGGTGACTATAAATGCGTTATGCGGTAAATTATATATATAAATCCGGTATTTATTATCAATTATTTATATGGTGATGCAAATTATACAACATGTATGTACTCTCTTGAAAATTATAATAAACATTTTTTATGTAACTTAGATTTCGAACACCAATTTGATTACTTGATCGTAAATAGTGATAATTTGCGAGTAGATGTCTGGGAGGGAAATCGAGTACTAGAGTGATGATTCGAATAGTGATATAAAATTCATTATATAAACGATCTTTCTCCCAGACGGAAAGAAGTTTGGCTGTTGAGGATAAAACCGAAGCGGAACGCTTCCCTGAGGTGGTTTTATCTCTTGTAATGATAAAATATTAATATCCATTATCGATTATTGGAAATGTATTATTTTGTTCTCTGATACTTTGATGTAAGAATTCCCTAGCAACTAATAAGACATGTTACGGAAACAATTATTTCGTTATAAAATTATGGCGACTAATAAGCAGGGCATGGGAAGTATTCGGCTATTATATTATTCTCTGAATTGACACTTTGCATAGCATATAAGTTCTTCGCAATTAATAAGACAAGTAGCAGAGTATCCGTCTATCGATGCTTTGTGGTAATATCTTGGCGACTAATAAGGAAAGCGTGAGAAGTGTTCAATTTAGAAAGATTGCGATTATAAGACCTTATGCTTAATACGAAAAAGGCGTTCGTAATAATAAAAACGATGTATAACACCGAGAGTTTAATATACTCGTTAGAAGGTTGATACTCGTAATATACAACAAAGGTTATAGTAAATCCATCGTCGTAAACACCGTTATTGTTATTCTGTTTAAGTTAAATATTATTTCGTCAATGGGGGAACCTATGCCGAAATGTTAGTAGAGTATTAGAGCCATAGAGTGTGATAGAGACACGAAGCAAAATGCGGATACTCTTGATGAAAATCCAATTGGAGCATTAGTGGAAAGAGAAATATTAATATTGAGGCCGAAATTAACCTTCATTAACGAAATAATCTACGATATAATGTATAACGGGTATTAGATATTTTATACATGAGCGGCATTTCTTCGTCCGCTACGTTTATCAGGAACATCTGTTGAGCCTGACCTTCGGTGAAATATTATTCGTCTTCGTCTGTATGATGAAACAGCGATGTTACTAATTCTCTAAATATATATTAACGAAATTAATAGGGCCATTAAGAGTATCTGCTAAATCTAAAGTGTTGTATTCTTATTTGATTGTTATATATTTTACAATTATTACGGATAGTATAGAAAGGCCGATGTGTATCTGTTGCCTAAGATATATTCGAGACATGATCCCAATGTAAGTCTGCGAACGAGAGTACTAAACACGAATCATGAAAGATAATAGTCAACGTAAAATCATTCGTCTAGCAAGAAAGAATTAGTTATGATAATGTCTGACCTTAGAGACAGAACTCTAAAGCTATACTTAAATAATATAATAAAGTTGGCCAAGTCGGTGGCCTCATCACTAAGCATCGACACTACAGGGCCCTATTGTCCCGGTGAGGGAGCGCAGCCGCCTCGCGAAGAAAACCCACTGACACACTTTACAAGACACAATTGAGATCTTGTTGATAGCACAACTTAAAATAGTTGGACAGTTATTAAATTTATCACAATGCTTAACTGATTTTGTTTTTGATTAGGTAAACTCAAGCATAAGCAAACTCAAAATTTTACATTTAATTTGCAATGAATGTTATGTTGTAGAAATGTAGGATAGAAAACAAGCGCAATAATTATAATAGCTAAAATTTAATAAATTTTCTCATAATAATAACACTATCTATAGATAACTAGAGGTGCGTAAATTATGAAAATTTCAAACTTTTAAGCACCCACTGTATAATAATAACTGAAAATGCAATATTGGTCATCATGTCATGTGTCAGGATCGAGGCCTAAGTACGACGTATTCCTCCGTGATTTCCGGTAATTGCGCGCGACATGGTACAAATGTTGTCAAAACAGGCCAAAAACTTGGACAAACACAGACTAATCCGCTTATATCAAAAAGTTTGGACAGATAAAAAAAGATTGTCCAGCTATATCCAAAAACTTGGACAGAGCACAAATTACCCCATTTATCCGTAAACTTGGACAGTTTAGTGAAACAATAATTAGTTATAAATACGAGTCGTAGATAGTAGCTAAAAATCATCGTTCCGATCATTCGAATTATATCTTCAGCAAGACGTTGCTAAATAGAATAGTTCTTTATATTCTAATAAAAATCCGATTTAATTATAATTAATTCGTTTATTCCCTGATAAAAGATAGTTAGCGTTGTTTGGCGAAGTGTTAAAATGCTTTCCCCGTCAACGGCGAATAGAATTTAATATTGCCGATAAATTCTATTTAGTACTTTGCAATTAGGGTTATTGTTTAATTAATTGCTAGCACTTTTAAATAGTATAATTCCCCGTTCCAATAGGCCGTAAATCTAATCCCACTACGGAAATCGCTGAGATACTCGAATTTAAACAATAATCCAGGGACAGCGTATACAAAAGCGATAATATACATCGCGAGTATTGAAAGCCTGTGTAAAAGGTCACTAATTGCACTATATTTAGTTTAAAGTAGGAAGAGCGAAAGCTTCCTTTGGAAACGAACTAAATCCCGAAACGGCTAGTGCACCGCAGCTCTCCCAGGTGTAAGCTAGTCCGACAAATGTCTATAAAATTACATGTGAACTACTTTACACATGATAATATTTGAAGTTGTATAATAAAGATTTTATAATTTGAAAATTCAATCACTTACAAACTATATCAACAGATCACTAGCAATAAATTAATTGGTAGAATAATTACCTGCTGATAAAAATTTTGTCATTTAAAGGTACAAACAGCTTTATTAGGCACAAAAATTTTAACAAAATATCTTGTCACTCTGTTCAATTCTTATAAGGTTATCTTGTGCCTTAACATATCCTTGCTCAGCTGCTTTCTGATACTGCTCAACTGCTTTTTGAATATTCTTTTCCACTCCTTTCCCATTCTCATAACAAAGACCAAGATTAAATTGTGCCCCAGCATGTCCTTGTTTAGCTGCTTTCTGATACAGCTTGACTGCTTTTTGAATATGCTCTTCCACTCCTGTCCCAGACTCATAACAAAGACCAAGATTAAATTGTGCCACAGCATATCTTTGCTCAGCTGATTTGTGATACAGATCAACTGCTTTTTGAATATTCTTTTCCACTCCTGTCCCATCCTCATAACAAAGACCAAGATTAAATTTGGCCACTGCATATCCTTGGTCAGCTGCTTTTTGATACAGCTCAACTGCCTTTTGAATATTCTTTTCCACTCCTGTACCATTAGCATAGCAAATACCAAGATTATATTGTGCCTCTGCATATTCTTGTTCAGCTGCTTTCTGATACAGCTCAACCTCTTTTTGAATATTCTTTTCCACTCCTGTACCATTAGCATAGCAAATAGCAAGATTATATTGTGCCCAGGCATTTCCTTGTTCAGCTGCTTTCTGATACAGCTCAACTGCTTTTTGAATATCCTTTTCCACTACTGTCCCATTTTCATAGCAAACACCAAGATTAGTCAGTGCTGTAGCATATCCTTGTTCAGCTGCTTTCTGATACAACTCAACTGCCTTTTGAATATTCTTTTCCAGCCCTATCCCATAGTAATAGTAAAAACCAAGATTACATTGTGCTACAGCATTACCTGCCATTAATGATTGCTGATACCATTGAAAAGCTTGTTCAAGATCTATTTCTGTTTCTATTCCATGTGCATAGAAGAAGCCAATCAGCCAAAAGCATTGTCCACAATTGGCATGAGCCTTTAATGTAACCAATGAACTTTCTTGCTTATCATTATCTTGTTTAAGCCAATTTTTGATATAATCAGCTATTTGTTCCATAGATTTCCCCTTAAAATTTAACTTGCTGTATAATACTGACAACTCATTAGAAAGAAGATGATCTGAATCACATTTTGGTAACTGATCCACTTCTCCAATTATATTCTTTAATCTATGGTAACATTGTTCACTGGTTGGTCTTCTTTCTGAATTGTTGTCCCAGCATTCTGTATATAAATTTTTATATTCCTCTGGTGTGCCTAGAACCACATCATGG